GGGGGGGGGAGAGGAAAGTGGAGCTCCAATGGACTGCAATTTTATTACTACGAACAATGGATAATTATTGATCTGTTGCAGGTGGACGTTGAAGAGACGGATCGAGAGTACTATATGAGTCGGCGAACCAGTATGGACGAATTGAGCGAAAGTGGACGAGCGGATAGTTACGAGTTCACATTTTCGAGGAATTACAGCTAGCACATGAAAAGACTGTATTTGGAAACAGGCCGAAGTGTTGCTTCTTAGAATATAGCGAAGAATTTTATTGGATTATCAACTCACCGCTTCAGGAAGACCAAAATCAGGGATATGCGAAAAAGAGGTTTAGTTCATTTATTCTGTTTCTCTTGTTGACTTTGTTTGAATGAATGCGGGCTAGGAGATCCTAGTTGCGACAATCATCTTCGCAGCGGCTCGCGCCGGTCGCGAAATCGCTTGCAACACAGCATTGCCGCAACTCGGACCTCCTGACCTGCATCGTGTTAAGACATGTTCGAACTCGTTTTTTTTAATGTTTATTTTTCGCTTGTCCCGGAATGACATAGCCTCTGGTTGTTTTTGCCTGCGATACATTGCATATCCTCGGGATAGAGTGGGCATAGTTGTGTACTTCATTTGACGTGACTGCGCCTGTGATTTTGGTGGAAACATCGTTTGTGCAGCACAAAAGGATGATGGTTGCCCCAAATGAAAATATCTCACGCAAAATGCATCGGGCGCCATGCTGCGATGAAGTACGCGGCCACGCCCTTCGGTATTCTCATCGTTACACTAGCTTTGCTTGTGGCTCTACAGCTCGATTCATGATACCGCTCAAATACTCTCACAGATTTCCCTATAATGATTTTCATCGCGTAGCTTTTATACAGAAGTTACTTCCAGAAATAACAAGGAATAATAATTCAAAATAATGTATGATACATCTCTGCTTGGTACGTGATAGTGCATAATTTTGCTTTCGAAGAGAATTTTACCATTAGAAATGTAGGGCTCAATGGCTTTGGTTGATTTCTCCTACCTGACGTCTTGCAGTGCTGCGACTAGAAACGCCAAACTTGCAGCCGGCGGCTGCTGCGACCCGCTGCAATCAATCAATACGTATGTTTCACATGGGCTGCTGGCTGCAAGTTTGTAGAGTATAGACGCAGCCTAACTACGTGCTGATTTCGTGACTCGTTCCTCTCTCCGTTGAACTGGTGCAATGCGTGTGTGCGTAACGCGTGGTTCACCTTCTCATGCTGCTCATTTTAATTATCATGTATTCTAGTCATTTAGTTTTAATGTTATTTATATATGATTGATATGCTGATTAATGCTCCAATGCTGAAAACACGTTGTCAATTTACGGATATATGAACGATCGATCGAGAAAGTTTTATTGATTCATTGATTGCTTTGTAACCAATCAATTATCATTCTTCTACGATGCAAATGCGCTCACTCATCACGTCTAGCTGCACGGCATTTGGCATGCGGTCATGCTCGCTGCGGATGCGGGGGCGTGCCAGCGGGCTAGGTTTGCCATGGTGCCAACCCGTTTTTCACCAATTGCGGAAGCTGGCTGGCAACCTCAACTGTTGGAAAGGAGCTGGCGAGGTGCCAAACCCAGCCCTCTGACATGCCCCACCACCACAACGAGGAAGACACGCCGTTGTATGTCACGTCGCTGTCGCTTGCACGTGCATTTCTGTGTATATTAATGATAGATGGTAATCTCGCCATAATTGTTTTGTTATGCATCTTGAAGTTACGTTTCCGTTTTCTTTTTAGGTGTATTTGTGTGTTACTAGAAGAGAGAATGCCTTCTATTTCACTCCCGTTTTTGATGTTGTCACATTTATGATGAGTCGCCAATCATTATTGATTACCAGATTTTCACGTATTTGTTTTTTTTTTGCAGATTTTGTTCATGGTGCTAAATGTGATTTGCGTAAAATTTTCAGCAACCTAATTGTTGTGCCATTTGAATTTATCCGAATTGGAAGGAACTGGTGCAGGAGATCTGGGCTGCGGTGACGCGGCCAAAGCAATGTCGCGAGCGGTGACGCGGGCGCGTCATTCGCACCAGTGCTTAATTGACCTTACTTGAAGGCGTTGTATTATCAGGGGACGTATAGTAGTGAGTTAGACTCCAGAGCGAGGGTCGCATTTGGCGGCTGCGAAAGAGAGTCGGTCGTTGACGAGATTTTTTGAGCGCTGGAAAAACTTTCCTGTTTTTGGCTTTCTTGGGCCTTCCTGTTGTGTGTTGCGCTATTATGCTTCGCTCCGGTCTGGAGATGAATCTGAAAAAGGAAGTTGGGACAGTTAAGAAGATGATAGGCAGAATGGGGACGGAGGGTAGAGAGGTTGTATTTGTCAAATTAAAATTCTCCATCGGGCAATGTCCCCCTTGCAGCATGTCGTGTCAACTAGCTAGGAAGTTGCTGTCTCCGCGTCACCTAGCCTTCCCGGTCGAACTTTGTGGCATGCCATCATCGAGGCCGTTCGAGATAGGGTTTGACGTGATATTCGGTCCTGTGATGTCTGTATTAGTCTCACGGATTGCCACCGCCATTTGAGTATGATATTCGAAAGATAAGCCTGGGGGGAGCGAGAAAAATGAAGAAACAATCGTGTGCAAGTCTGATTTCTGCTCCTTCTGGGAATATGTAGGAGTTCATGGCGGAGCGTGAGGGAAGAAGGACTATCAGGTTCCATCTTGCGTGATGGCAAGAGGCAAGGACCATTCAAATTTCGATAGCTATGTCCTCGAAATCGGCACCTCTTGTTCATGAGGCATCAGTGACATCGTGAGACAGCAGTGATAGCATTTATTATCACTTTTAGTTGTTTCCATTATCCGTGCGCTAAACTTGCGCAGCTGGCGTTTTCCGTTCACGAACTGAAGGGTCAACAGATTCATTCAAGCACTTGCAAAACTTTCCCACAAAAACATCTTGACCCGGTTTAGGCTATGATAACATTCCGCGATAGTTTAGTGGGCAGGAACTTACGACCACTGCGCGTCTTGCTCACTGGCTTGCCTCCTTATAGAGTAAAGAGGAGGGGCGGACCAAAGAGAAAAGCGCAGTGGTTGTGAGTCTTCGGCCACCCTGTTATAGCTAAATGTATGTCCAGGTTTTTTTTCATGTTGTAGCATAGGCGAAAAAGCCAATAGCGATTTAGCATACGCATGGCTGGAAGGTCGGTTTCTGTATGAAATCCGCACCATTTTTTACTTCCGGTTTGAGACTTTTTTGAGCAGATTCTAGCCCGGACAGTGAATCAGCTGGTCCCTAACAATCCCCTTCCTTCTCCATTTTCATCACGGTTCTTTTTATTAGATTAACCACCAGGCTTTCACATGGTACTGCGATCCTGAATGAAAATTGAATGCGTAGCTCATCCCAAGGGGAGGTTGCTCAGCTTCGAGGTTTTTATCCCTCTTTGTCTCTTATCCGTTCTTAGCGTGTACCCACCATGCAAGAAATCGTCAAAAGAAAGCTAAAAAGTTTGGCAGTGCTATATTCGGACTGGAAGGTAACCTCTCGGGGCGAAATCCAGAAATACGAAGTGGCTAACTTGCCTGAATGCCTGCTTATAAGGCTGTTGGAATTCAGTTATTCTCGCAGTACCTCCACTACCAATTATAAGGACGGATGCTATTCGGAATTATACAAATTTCAGTAAACAAATAATTCCAGCGCGGTTGTCATGGAGATTGCGCCGCGTCCAACTCGTCACTAATCGGTCTTGGTTACTGGAGAAGTCGCACCATTTTTGGTGCTATGAATTCCACTCGAGGAGAAATCCTTTCGGCTTCCGATTTACCTACGGAAACTTTTCTTCCTTTAATTGTGCTCGTCGGTGTTGTCGTCTACTGCTTGGGAATCGCAGCCGTGGTCCTCGTCATCTATGCAAAATATGTGAGTCTCTCAGCCTTATGCTGTTTTATAAGTGTGTTTATTTATATATTTGCCGATCAAATTGCGACGTATACTGGATGACCATCTAATCGCTTCCCATAGGATGCACTCGGTTCTCACAAGGAGTCACAGAGCCTAATGACATGGTTTTGATTTACCCTTGTATGGTTCAGCCTCTAGTCGGGTCTTTTATTCTTTCATGGTTCATAGAACCGG